TATACACACGCGATTGGTAGTATTTTTACATGGTTAAAATTTGTATTCCAGTCCTTGCCTCCTTTCTTGTGTGTTGCGTTGTGAAACAACAGCACCTTCTCCTGGGGTAGATATGGGGACCCAAGGATACCATTTGTGCCTCTCTATGTCCTTCCTGTGAAAGCCACAAAATCTCAGAGGTGCGATGGAATCGCATGGGAAGAAAAAGAAAGATCTGAATTGTGAAAGAAGGGTCACAGCAGAGACAGCGTGAGCCACAGTGAGAACTGACTAAGAGAAGCCACCATCCTAAACATTCACAGTCTTCCCCACCCCATAGGGCAGGATCCCAGGGCCTAGCCTGGTGCCTTGTTCTCGGCCCTTCTCTTTCCCTAAAGCTGCTGTCCCCTAATGCTCACCTTGCTGTCGTTGTCTTCTGTGAAGGAGCTTACATCTCTCCACCTCCCTCCACCCCAGGTAGGTCCAGGGCTTACCTATGCATTTCCAATTACACCCCAGAGAGCTCTGCTAAGCATAGGGCCCCTGTGCTCTGGGAAGAGCCAGAGCTTTTGATTGATTCATCAAATTCTTGAGCCAGGGCTTCCAAACTTTCAGACCAGAACAAACCTCTTGGTGAAAGTCCTCGTGTTCAGTCTTCTCTGAGGGAACTCAGTCCGGAGGACGTGTTACTGCAGTCAGCAGAGGGGAGGGGAGCTGGCGGCACAGAAGGCTGGTGTCCAGGCGGGCCCTTTGCTGGTCGAGAGGGTGGTGTATCGACAGAAATCCCTGATTTGAAGTCAGAAGGCTCAGGGATAAGGTCCAGCTCCACCACTGAATAGCCAGAGGATTCTGAACAAGCTACTTACACTTCATGAAGATCATTTTACTCATTTGGAGAAGCAAGATCATAACACTTCCCAGAGATGTTTTGATGATTAAATAACATACTAAACGTACTCCACATAAAAGCTCTCTATAAAAACCACTTTAATAATGTTATATCCCAAGTGTCTCCAGATGTTTATAGGCTGCAGGAATGAAGCAGATCCCACCATCTGAGTGTCTGGATCCCGTTCCAGCTTCCCATTGAGCCCCTTGCTGCCCCTGATGTGAGGCCACCCCACCCCCATCCCAGGATTTCTGAGGTACCCAGTAAGGGGCCCTTACTCATGTTGGTCAGAACCTTAGCCCCAAACCTGTCACCACTTACTTCCCTCCTCCCCCTATTCATCGATGTCTACCACCAAGGGCAATCTCTCCAGATAATCCCAGTTCCCAAGGTGCCCAAGTGGATTCTGAGACAGGGAAAGGACATTTATTTCTCCAGCTCTCATACCACTAGATGGCGCTTGTCTCCCCAAAAAGTGCTCAGTGAGGCCTTTCTTCCCAGTGAAAAACCTGGTCTGTGATCATTTGATTCAATGAGACACCTACTCCCCAGAAGCAGCAGCCAGTTTGCTGAAGTCTGATCACGATTTGAGAAGGAAACCTAAGGAAGCCGTGTGCAGAGACGCCATCCTTCCTCTACTGCTCGCACTGCCCATGGAGCCTCCAAATGCAAAATCCAATGACCCCATTCTTCACCCAGAACAAGGGATCCACCTGCCCCAAATGCCTTTCCAAGTGTCCATTTTTTTCTCACGACAAAATTGCTTGCTGCTTTGCAATGACAATTTCTCATTCAACATAATGCTCTTGAGATTCATCCATGTGTTGCGGGCAATCAATAGATCGTTTCTTTCTATTGGCTGAGCATGAGTCCAGCTTATGAATACATCACAGTTGTTTAGTCATGGACTTCGGGGTTGTTTCCAGTTTTTGTATTTGATAAGTGAAGTGGCTGTGAATATCATTTCGTATGTCTTCTCATTGACATTTATTTTTCATTCCCTCAGTAAACTGCTAGGAGTGGCATGTCTGAGGTCAATGGCGGAGGTGTGTGTTTTGTTTTATAAGAAACTGCCAAACTGCTTTCCAAAAAGTTGCACCTTTTTTCTACATCAGCAAAGTAACAGTTTTTCTACTTCCTTGCCAATAATTGGTAGTATCAGTGTTCAAATGTTAGCCATTCTTTTTGGGAGTGCGTGGGGTGGTATCTCATTATAGCTTTAGTCTGCCTAAATGATATTGAACATCATTTCATGTGCTTTTTGGCCATTGATTTATTTTGTATTACTGATTTGCGGCGCTTGATTTAGCCCAGATATAGTTCTTTTATCAGTTATTTCCTCCCAATCTGGAACTTGCTTGTTCATTTCCCTAACAGGGTACTTGGATGGACAGAATTTAAAAGGATTGAAATCCAATGATTATTACAAGAAATCTTGGCCTCTTACAAAGTTGCAAGAATTATCTCCTTATTTTCTCCTAGATATTTTAGAGTTTCAGCTTTTATAGTTAGGTCTATGATCTATTTTGAGTTAATTTTTATGTGTGATGAGTAATGGAAAAAAAGGTTTTTTTCTTTTGTAACAGCTTTATTGAGATGTCATCATTCACATGGCATGTAATTCGACCTTTAAAGTGTCCAATCCAATGGTTTTTAGTACCATGATGGTTAACTTCATGTGTTCGCAGAGCTAAGAGATGCCCAGATAGCTGTTAAAACATTCTTTTGAGGTGTGTCTGTCAGAAGGTTTCTGCAAGATGTTAGCCTTAAATTGGTAGACTTAGAAAAAAAGGTCACCTTTGCCAATGCTGGTAGACATCATGCAATCCACTGAAAAGAACATAATGGCAGAGATGGGATGAATTTGCTCCCTTTGCTTGGTCTGAGATATCCATCTTCTTCTCCTGCCCTTGCATATCAGCTCCCCTGGCCTTTGGACTCGGGCTGGGACTTACATCACCAGTGTTCCTGGTTCTCCACCTATAGATAGCAGACCAGGAGCCAATGCCTATAATAAGTCTCCTCTTTTATAGGTCTCAATATCCTGTAGGCTCTAGTTCTCTGGAGAACTCTAAGACAAGCATTTGTGTAGCACTGTACAACTATTGCCACAATGATTTTCATCCTTTTCAGTACCCCCGAACACAAACCCATGTTTTTACCAGTGACTGCCCAATTCCCCTCTTCCCTAGTCCTAGGCAATGATGAATCTACCGATAGATTTGCCAATTCTGAGCATTTTATATTAATGACAGCATGCAATGTGTGGCCTTTTGTGGCCTGGTTTCTTTCACTTAGCAAAATGCTTTTGAAATTAATCCATATTGTCATACCATGTATCCAACGGGCTGACTAATATTCCACTGTATGTATATATACTACGTTTGGTTTATTCATTCATCAGTTGATTGACATTTGCTCTACTTTTGGCTGCGATGAATAATGCTGCTGTAAACATTCCTGTCCAAGTTTTTGTATGGAGATATATTTACAATTTTCTTGGGTATAGACAAAAAGCATAATTGCTAGGTAATATGGTACTTCTACTTTTAACCTTTGAGGGACTATCCAACTGTTTTCCAAAGTTCCTGGATCATTTTATAATCCCACAGGCAGTACATAAGGGTTCCAATTTCTCTACAGTCTCACCAACCGAGAGATTACATGTCTTTTTTATTATAGCCAGCCTAATGTGTGAAGTAGTTTCTCATGGTGGTTTTGATTTGCATTTCTCTGATGGCTAATGATCTTGAACATCTTTTTCTGTGCTTATTAGTCATTCATGTATCTTTTTTTGGAGAAATGTTTATTCAGATCCTTTGCCCATTTTTTAGTTGGGTTATTTGTCTTTTTGTTATTGCACTGAAAGATTTCTTTATCACTCTAGATACCAGTCTCAAGGTTCATTTTTTTTTTATCATATGGAGTTCTAGGTGTTCCATAACAATTTGTGGAAAACTTCTCTTTCTCCATTGAACTACCTTGACGCCTTTGTCAGAAGGTGTCAATTGATCCTATATGTGTGGACCTGTATTTAAACAGTCTAATTCTGCTACAATGATCTGTTTGTCTTTATGCCATTTTGGTTTGAAGTATTTTCTAATCTTCCCTGTGATGTCTTCTTTGACCCATGGGTTGTTTGGAGGCTCCACGTGGCATTTTCTAGATACACTACTGGTGTTAATTTGTAATTTAATTCCATTGCGATTGAGAAGATGTCATCTATATGAGTTGACCTAACGAGATTTAGTGATTGTTTTATATCGAGTCTGTGTGGTCAGTCTTCATCCTTCTAGCCTATAGTGCCTGGTCAATGCCTGACATACATGCAGCAGGTGTGCGGTGAATGTGGAGTGAACAAAAGAATTAATAAGTTATAGGATTGCTGGCCTGGCATCAGGCCCCCTCTAGAAAGCACCAAAGCATCAGCACTGCATGGTCCTGTAGAGCATGGACTCGGGGTCCTTCTGACATGTGGTCAGGTTACTTAATCTCAGTTAAGTGAAAAGCTTTCTACCTCCCAGGGGAGTTGCAAGGATTACACGTGTTACGGCGTGTAGGGAGCTGCTGCTCTCTAGTTAACACACTATATTTTAGCTGTTGTTCCTCGTGGAGACCCTGGTCAGCTCGGTGTTAGGCAGCCTCAGATAAAGAGACAGCTCCTCCAGATCGCCAGTGTCTCCGAGAGCAAAAATATCACTGGCTGTGTTGGAAAAATAGAAGCACTTAGATTTTCTCATACGGCGCCTTAGTAGCTACAGAAATAGAAACTAGATAGTGCCATGGACTGGGATCCTGGAAAATAAAAGCTTCTTGCCAATGTCAACTTATGTCTGAAGATATGTTTGCTAAAATATGCTCGTTTCAAAACACAGCGATTTGCCATCATGCCACCGATTCCCAAACCAGCTAGCACAAGGTCTCTGCAAGTGGACAGTCACAGACAGCCGAACGTCTGGACTCCGCTCAGGCAGTTTTTCTTGCGCCTGCGAAATGCACAGAACCGGCGAGTTTGCAGGAACGCCGAGTAGCGGCCGGCTCGAGGCGTGCGCACATCCAGGTCTGGCCTCAGTTTCCGGTGTCTGGGCCCAGAGACGGAGCAGAGGGCTCCGCCGCGGGCGGCTCAGCGCCGAAGAGCGCAGGCGGGCGGCGTAGATCGCGCCGCCGCGGTCAGACCAGTCGGACGGCTTCGAACCCCAGCCCGCCCCGCCCTGCCCGCGCCGCCGCCCTCCCTCCCGGAAACCCAGGCCCTCCCGCGAGCGCCCAGGCAGGACGCGCCCGGCCCCGCGCAGCCACCGGCCGCAGCCCCCGCGGTCCCGGCCCGCACCCGGGCGCCGGGCCATGGGGCAGCCGGGCCGGCGGGAGAGGCCGGAGCAGGAGCCCGGCGGGAAGTGGGTAAGGGCACGTGGGGAGGCCGGCGGGGGCGGCCCCGCCGCCCTCGACAGTGACCGTGTGCGGGACGCGGGGCGCGCGGAGCCCGGGAGCACCTGCGCGCGGCTGCGGGGCCTTGCGCTGTGGTCAGCTGGGGGTCTGCGGACCGGAAGAGCGGGAAGAGGCCGAGCCAGGGTGGAGAGCGAGTGGGGGCCCTCAGAATCCAACGTGATCTGGTGACAGGGATGGCACAGGGATGGCACATGGTGGCGACTGTGCCCCGCCGAGAGTCTGCCCGGGCCTGGGCTGCGGTGGCTTCACAGGCTTCTCCAGAGAGGCTGCGTGGATCTCAGCTCCAGTATTTAGAACTGGGTGACACCGACAGCTTTACTGCGAATCTCTATTGCCCTGTGCCTCGGGTGGCCCCAGACCTCCTCCCAGCCCCCTTTTGGAGCTCTCCTTGCCCTTCTGGGTGTCTGGCCAGAAAACAGAGATTTCTGGGAAGGTAAACAGTGTCTGCTCAGCTGACAAACTCCCATCCCGTCTAGGGTTCCTTTCTGGTCTAGGATTGAGTCTAGCTTGTCCTTTCGGCAGGAAGATGGAGCCAGGGATGGAAGTTCTTGCTGGTTTTTTCCATACTGCAAGATGGATTTTCTGCTCTGGTCAATGCAGTCACCCAGACCCCCTTGTCTGTGGCCTGCATGTCTAGGTCAGGAGACCAGCATCAAAGTGAGGACCTGGGCAACTTGGGGCCCCACCTGCTCTTGAACCTCATTAGCTCAGCCCTTTCTTTCCCCAGCCCGGAGCTGAGTGAATGTAATTAGCAACTAATTGAATGTCTATGAGCCCCTCTGCATAAGCAATACACCAAGGTCAAGGTCAGACAGCAATCGCGCTGAGTGATTCATTCTTTTCTTTCAGACATGGTATATTCTCTGTGTGGGGCCTCTGCAGAACAGTCATTCACTCATTCATTCATTCATTCAACAGATATTTACTGAGTGCCCACTACCAACCAGGCATTGGAAATATAACTGCTCTTGTTCACATAGGAGTTGTAGGAGAGAGGAGCAGGTGAATCACATTATTTCAGAGAGTGATAAATACTGTAAAACAAAAGAACCCGACTGGTTGACGGGCATGGTGGTGAGACAGGTAAGAGCAATTGGCCGCCAGCTAGACAAGGAACTAACTTTCTAAAAGATGTGGGAGGGTGGTTCCATTTCCAGACCCTCAGACTCTGGGGGCTCAGGACAGGATGTCCTCCGTTTCCACGAGCAGGGACTTACGAGCTGCTGATGAGGGGGTCAGTGAGCGGTGGACAGGTGGTGAGTAGCTCCTCTCTGGGCCCCTCAGAGTATACTTGTTGGGGGGCTTACATCTGAGCTTCCCCAGAAGATGTGCTCTGTTGGCTCGCTCGCTCATTTGGTCACTCAACAAATACTTACAATGTGTTCCGGGCACTATTCCCAGGCATTAAGGGTACATCCGTGAACAAGGCCATCTTTCGTCTCACGGAGCTTATTATCTGGTGGGGAGAAATGGATGGTAAACAACAGTAACAGCAATCTAAATGTCTCGCCAGAGAAACGCTCTGAAGAGAAGCAGAGCAGCTTAAGGGGTTTAAGAAGGTGGTGGGGCTGTTGTGTTCAACAGAGTGGTCAGGACATGCTGTACTGAGGAGATGAAATTTGAGTGGAGACCTGAATGTAGATAAGACTGAGGGACTATCTGAGGGAAGAACATTGCAAGCAGAGAGAATAGCGAGTGCAAAGGCCCTGAGGCATAAATCAGGCCTGAACATGCTGGGGATGCTGGCCATGCTGGAGGAATGGTAGTGTGGCTCTGGGAGGCCAGCAGGCATTTCAGAGGCTTTCTGAAGTGGGGGCTCAGTCTGGTGACCAGAGGCATCCAGGAAATGAGATGATGCCCCCCACTGCTGTGGCAGGAAGATTCACAGGCTCCCCGGCAAGCCCAGGGTCCAGCCTGGTGGTTTACACTGAGTTGGGGAACAGGTTATCACCAGAGATGGAGAGTGTGTCCTTGCATGAGAGGCATTGCTTGGTCATCCTACACCCAGTATCCATCAGAAAACCCCATCATGGGCCCACACAAAGAGAGCTAAAATGGGAGGCAGGTCTCAAGTTTTTCAAATCAGTAAAGACTCTGGAAACTGGATATAGGGAGAAAAACTGTTGCCTTCTAGGAAGATTCTAGTAATCTTTCATTCTTTAATTAGGTGATCTTATTAATAGGCTTAAAAGGAAAACAGAAGAGTATATAATACTTGACATTTATTGAACACGCACTATATACCACGCTCTCCTTTGAGCACCTTTGTGCAAATACAAATAATCTCACAACAGATTTGTGAGGCATGGACGGTCCCATATTGCAGATGAGAAAATAGATCCAGAGAGAGCAGGAGAGTTGCACATTTTTACTCAGCTAGTAAGTGAAGGGTCAGGGTTTACAGTCATTGGAGTGGTACAGTTTTAGAGCCAAGTGCTGACAGACAGAGGGGGGTGGGGGAGGTTTGGGCTGAAGAGGTGTTGGTCCACAGTGGAAAGGAATCCTAGCACCTAAGAGCAAGGGGTGGTTAGAGAGGACAGCAGGGGTTATAAGCACATTCCACTTCTTTTGTTATTTAAAAGATTTTTAAAAACATTTATTTATTTTTGAGAGAGAGACAGAGAGACAGAGCGATAGAGCGTGAGCAGGGGAGGGACAGAGAAGGAAACACAGAATCCAAAGCAGGTTCCAGGCTCTGAGCTGTCAGCACAGAGCCTGACGCGGGGCTTGAACCCACGAACCATGATATCATGACCTGAGCCAAAGTCAGACGCTTAACTGACTAAGCCACCCAGGCGCCACAAAAAGATTTTATTTTATTATTATTATTTTTTTAATGTTTATTTATTCTTGAGAGAGACAGACAGAACATGAGCAGGGGAGGGGCAGAGAGAGAGAAAGGGAGACACGGTATACGAAGCAGTCTCCATCCTGTCAGCACAGAGCCTGACACGGGACTTGAACTCGTGAACCATGAGATCATGACCTGAGCCAAAGTCGCTTAACCCACCGAGCCACCCAGACTTCCCTTCTTTTGTTATTTTTAAGATCATATTTGCATGGGTTAAAATTCTTTTAGAAAGTTTTTTTTTTTTAATATTTTTATTTCTAGGAGAGAGAGAGAGAGACAGCGTGAGGAGGGGAGGGTCAGAGAGAGAGGGAGACACAGACTCTGAAATAGGCTCCAGGCTCTGAGCTGGCAGTCAGCACAGAGCCCGACGCGGGGCTCGAACCCATGAACTGCGAGATCCTGACCTAAGCAAAAGTCGGACGCTTAACCGACTAAGCCACCCAGGCACCCCTAGAAAGTATTTTTGAAGGTACTACCTGCATGTGTTTCAACTCTTTTTATAAATGTTAATTCAAACAGCCCTTAAAGGGCACAGAGAAAAATCTCCCTCCCCTCCTGTGCTCTGCTCCTCTATTCTCTTCAGAGGCAATTTCTTGAGAATACTTCCAGAAGGATACGTTCTGTTTGTAAAGGAACATACAATTACGTATAACTTCTCTCTATTTTTTTTTTTTTTAAGCAAATTGTACTTTCTTTTAAGATACTTGCTCTGATTCAGGACATAGAAATGTACCTCATCCTTTTAAGATAAAAGTGTAATGTCTCACTGAATGGGTGCGCCATATTTATCTAGCCAGTCCTCTGTGGCTTCTAGACGGTTCTCTCCAGTTTGATTTGTTCGCGTGCGGTGACAGTAACGCGTGAAGCATCTGCGTTCCTACCTACCCACTCACTTCTGTGACAGCTTCAGAGGACAGAGTCAGAAACACAGAATGACGGATTTCTTGAAAGCCGTGCGTATTTTAGGTTTCAGTTGATGCTGCCAGCCTGCTTTCCAGAGACACCATATGACTTAGGGCTTCCGAGACGGCTCGGTGTCCCCACCGCTCCGCCAGCTCGGTGTGTTACCAACTCGCTGGTCTTGCCCGTGTGACAGATAAAAAAAAAACCCTGGCATCACGTTGTAGTTCTAATAAGTATGAGTAGTGAGCGGTGTTAGGAGCCTCACCGCTGTCTTTTGCTCTGTCTTTCTCTTTCGGAGGACCATTCACGTCCTCGGCCTGTGGTTTAATTTGGATTTTCCTCCTTTTGTTGTTGTCGTGATTGAATTACAAGGGGTCTTATTATGATGGCTTCTTCATCCCTCCTCTCTAGTCCCACTGACTGCCCCTCCCCGGCTGCCCCTACCTACCCTGCTGGTGAACAGCAGTCATTCTGAAAGGTGTACACGGGGATCCTGGGATCTGGATGTATTCTAGGGCAATAGATGACGTTGATTTATATATGCGTGTCCTTGAAACCACGTAAATTGTTTGTGCTGCAAATCACGATCTTCTTACTTTTTAAACCTGATGCTATTTTTTAAAAAGATTGATCTGACTTCTGTATGAACGCTTGGTTCGTTGCCCTGATTGCTGGGCTGTGTTCCCTCACTGGGATTATTGAATTCTCTTAACAGATGATTCTTTTTTTTCCCCCCAGATTGCATTTATTTATTTATTTTATTTTTAATTTTTTTTAATGTTTTATTTATTTCTAGGGGGGAGAGAGAGACAGCGTGAGCAGGGGAGGGTCAGAGAGAGAGGGAGTCACAGACTGAAACAGGCTCCAGGCTCTGAGCTGGCAGTCAGCACAGAGCCCGACGCGGGGCTCGAACCCACGAACCGCGAGATCATGACCTAAGCGAAAATCGGACGCTTAACCGACTAAGCCACTCAGGCGCCCCTTTATTTATTTATTTTAGAGAGAGAGAGAGAGCATGAGCAGGGGACAAGGTCAGAGGGAGGAAGAGAGAAAATTCCAAGCTGAGCGAGGAGCCTGACGCGGGGTTCGATCTCAGGACCCTGGGATCCTGACCCCAGCCGTGCCATCCAGGCGCCCCCTAATGGTTGATTCTTAGTGGCTTGGTCTACTACAAAGATGGGAGAAATGGCCTTATGGG